ATTAATTACATTGTCCATAGTTTGTTAGTATCTGTAAATAACATTGTGACTTAAATCTAAGCGTGATAGACGTAAATACCATTTTGAACTATCTAGTGAAGGCGCTGTATGCAGTAAAAATAGGTTTTTCAAAAGAAACAAAATCTATACATTTTATAGACGCGAAAAAAATATATGTTAATCTTGATCTTACATTCTAATGGACCATTGTTTTCAAAACATATTCTCGATATATTTTCTCGATAGAAAAAAATCACGAACCTACCTCTAAACGTGAATTTCAAATTAAAAAATAGATATATTAAATGAACAAATCTTGATGAAATTAATATCAGTGGTGTAGAATATATTAATAAAACGGACTGTTGTCTTAATTTGTTGATTGAAGTAAGATATTTGTAAATATTAATTTAATTCATTAAAATTAATTCGAACGCAGTGGCCAAAACACCTCGCCACCGCGGCGTTGCTTCGGTTCTCTTCCGACTTGGAACGTTGAACAGAGAGCGCTGAGGCGCCTTGCTAGCCGCTATGCCGCTCGTCGCCCGCTCACCGTTACGAAATATGTTTCGTATTTATTTATTATTGAGAGTTTTAATTTTATTAGACCTTCGAAAACACGAAACTAAAAAATATATATTCACATATTTCGTATTTATAAATTATTTGGATGTATTAACAGTTGTTAATTAATTTATTTAAAGCATAATTTCAATGTCTTATCTCGTGATTGAGTGGTCTATCAGTCCTATACATACAGTTTATAGGACCATCATTCTTTATGGATTGGGTTCAAATCCCTAAGTTTTTTGTTGTACTTATTGTTGCTTTTCTTATTTGGAAGTATTTCTTAATTACCATTTAATTATTGTTCATTTTATTATTTTCATAATTAATTACAACGAAATATTATTGTATTTGTTCAAAGTTGAAACAGTTGGAGAACAATCTATGAGTAAATAAACCAACTTTTCGTATTAAATTTTTTTTAACGTCATCTATTTTTTTATTAATTTAATAATTTTTTTTGAGCTGTGATAGCTCAGTGTCCTGGCGCTCGCCTTTAATTCAATATACTCGAGCAACCTGAGTTCGATCCCCGGTGCCGGCACCAATGAAGTTTTTAACTTTAAGTGTTGACTTATCACGTGCTCCGCGGTGAAGGAAAACATCGTGAGGAAACCTGCATATTTTCGAAATAATACCAAAAAAATATATATTTCGAAAATATGTGAAGTCCGCCAATCCGCAGTGGGGCCGCGTGGTGGACTATGCCCTGATACCCTCTGTATAGAGGAGGCCTTTGCCCAGCAGTGGGACATGTATAGGCTGTTACTTTACTTTTTTACTTTTAAGAATTTTAATAAATTTTTATAATTATTTTATAATTTTTTTTATAATTTGTTTATTTCCCAAATTGAGCCATTTTATAATAAAAAACAAAATAATTAGTTATTAAAAGTAAAAATAATATAAAAAATACAACTCCACTCGATGAGTGGTTTGAAATTGGAACTACAGCAATAGTTTACCGTTGTGTATGTGCAAAGTGACAAAATTTCGATTCTAGTTATAATTGCTGTCGTTTATCGATACAAATAAGGATTTTATCGATAGTTTTTTTAATTTCATTTTAAGTTGAAAAAGTAATATAACATAGTAAATCTTGAACATTTAAAGGATAAATTAAAATTCCTTATATATAAAAAAATGTAATAAAAAAAGTTGTATTCGTAATTTCTGCAAAAATTTTATGAGCCATTTCTTTAAAATCACAATAAAAACAAAAAATAATAATTATAAGTAATTTGCCTTTATTAATTTATTTGACTTTAAGATGTATTTTAATCAATTCCTTTTCCATTTAATTAAAAAAATAATAATAAACAGGAAGATTTTCTAAATTGTCGATTGCTTTCTCATACTTTATATTTGTTTGTTTATTATTAATCCTATTATAATATAAAAGTAAAATACCATCATGGTCTATAAAAGATATTATAGGGATCATCTGCGTACATTTTCGAAAGCCTTCCTGCTACTATCGATAGTATCCTACGGCCCATCACTACACACACACTAGGTAATGAATGACGCGGTCTAGCGGCGCGTCGACGAAACTCGGCAAGCGGCGTTACCCCTCCTCCGCTACCTCATACTTCACCACCCAAATAGTTAAAAATTCACTGCATACAGCGCCTTAAAGCTTGATCTTATAACAGGCTTTAGAAAAGCTATTTGCCATGAGTTGGATGGACGGTAAGCTAATAAAGTCGCTGATAATGGTTTGGGGTTGACAGCTACGGGTCATTGAACTAAGTTATGCGGTCCAGACCTATGATTTGTGTGGATGGGGTAGGGAAGTAAATCCTAACGACCGTTGCGTCCAAGAACGTCTATTTAAAAAAATAAATAGTCTAAATAGACCAGACCCTAACGACTCTATTATTAATCGCTGAGAGCGATTACGAGCGATTACTGTGGTAGGGCACGCAACAGTATTCAATGTTGCATGAATTGGCAGGCGCGTCCGGACTAGCAGGCTTCACGAAATACCGACGTGAAATGGAAGTATTAAACTTTAGTACTGAGGTAGCCAGGATCCACTTCTATAAAAGTGCCAACGCATCTGCAAGCTTTTGGGTGTTGCGGATGTCCATGGATGGTATTCTCTTAACATCTGATGAACTGCCTGCTCGCTTGACAACTTTTCACATAAAAAAAGTGTACGGAGTCTGTCGTTGCAATGCAGGTCGTTGTTTCTCTGATACCATCGTGCACCGGCGGATGAATTTGTTTAGATGTATTTTGGATACGTACATTCAAGTACATAACATTATATAATAAAGGTCGTATTTAATGACCTCACCAATTACTTAGTGCGAGTAGTGGGTTAATAGACATGCACTTAGCCTAACAATGAGTTGTTTTATGACGTTACTTCTATTAGCTACAAATAGAATAAACTGCAACATTGACAAGTTTTAAAACTAAATTAATAAAACAAAAAGGGAAAGACATGAATCTTACATGGAGTTAAGAAAAACCAACATAGAGATGCATGTATATGGAACTATCTATCTTCTTTGAATAAAATTGCATATTTTAATACAATCAAGACTTGAAACAGTGTATTAACTTTTTAACTTTAACGATTTTAAAAGTATAAAAGGATGTACATTAATTTCACTATTCACTGCGTTTCTTACGTTTTATATTTTACTAATACTTTTACTCGGAAAAAGTGGAGCTAAAAGTAAAATGACTAACTGCGCTATTTATCAATTAGTTTAAAAATTAGATGTTATCAATAAAGCATCACTATATAGCAGTAAAGACAAAGTGTAAATTGAAATTAGCCTTTCATCTACGAGTTTCCATTGGAGTTTTATATTCAGTCATATTAACTGTGTCAAAAGTTGGTGCAAAGATAATATTAACGCCATCTTGCGGATTAACAGTATTTCCAAAGTGGGCTATATTTGGAACCTATTGCGACAGTCAAGCCAAGAAAGCACGTAAACTACCTTTTAATAAACTAGATGGCGCTGAGGCAAAGTAATATATGAAGCTGACTACAGATGGCGCTCTAGATGGATCTATAACATGTGCAATTGTGCATCGCGTCTCTTTTATAAATATCTATCAAGTTAACTTGTTTTATGAAATAAATATAATACCTGTAATAGTCTACCTACCGTACAAAAGCCAATATTGCCGGTTAATCTCACTTTTTACTATATGTTTTATTTATACTTGACATTGGCAGAATCGTAAAGTTATTCCTTTACAGACCCATTATACTAAAATTAAAAAAAAATACGGCATCCCGCATCCATATTTATATATAACGGAAATATACAAATATACACGGGATCTTGTAAAAATCCAAGTATATTAGTTGAACAAAATTGTTAAGCCACCAAATGCTCCATAGCTTATAGAGTAAATTAGGGACGAATGTTATCGAATCCCTTGTTATTTGTTTTTAGATCTACAACAAGCATTATTCGAAAATTTCAGTTTTAGACAATATGGCTCTAGTCTCAAGTGAAGTCATCGGCAATACTATTGTCATATTCTACTGGCATTTTATGTGATTTTATGTGTGTGGATAGAAAGGAATTATAAAGCAAACTAAAAGTTCCTATTTCTAGGAGCGAAACTAGCCAAAATTCTTCTTTAGGACCTGACCTTAATGATTTTGCCGCGATTGATCGAGGCTACTTACAAAAGATACAATTACGCAGATACACTGAAAGCCACTTTATTCAGTGTTTCCTTTGTGTTATGTGGGTTAAAGTATTTCAATGTCATGCACTTTGTATGTCAGCTTTTAATATTAAGCTTCCCAGAGAGTCCCAGTTAACATGACATTGTGTCCCGGTGAGAATCAGCAGGAGGTGGAGTGAAGTAACCTTGTGGTCTTTTAAAAATGCTACGGACAAACAAACGGAACTATAACAGTTATATAATTTATATTACAACGGCGTAATAAAAATTTTATTAAAATATGTTGTATGTTAAACCAGATTAACTTAATATTTGAAAATTATCGGCATATGCTATGCTCCTTTGTCAACAAATTTATATCGGTGTTATATTTACAAAATTTTTAGTTTAATCCAGCACTATTAAAGAGCTAGAATATATAATTATGGAGTTATTGGAGGATATTATGTTTCATGGCAAATACATAAAAAACGTGAACGTGTACGTTTATAGTTAACGAATATAAAAATCTTCACACAAATCTAAAAACGACCATAAAAAAATATTATCCGATTGAAGTAGTGGCTAGTGAACTAGCCTGTTGCGCTAGACTCTAAAAACTGTGTACAAGCAATTCAATAGAGCCCTGGTTCTACGGTAGAGTCGTGGTTCTACAGTAGTGCCGTGGTTCTACGGTAGAGCCGTGGTTCTACAGTAGAGCTGTGGTTCTACAGTAGAGCCATGGTTCTACAGTAGACCTGTGGTTCTACAATATAACCGTGCTTCTACTGTATAACCATGCTTCTACAGTAGAACAGTGTTTCTACTGTAGTTCTTGGGTTACCTTTCTTGAGGCGGTGCCTGGGCGAATTGGCGGGCGTGCTATGCTCGGAACTCTGGTCTGCCGCGTACTCCGTTCCACTGCTGTCCGGCCCTGGAGCCAGCGAGAAGACCGTGCCCGCTGGACACCGCTCTCGGCTGCGACTCCGCTGCCAACGGCTCTGCGGTGAATTCGCATTTGATAATCTGGTAGAAGATTAACTGTGGTAGGGCCACGCAGCAGCCTCGGCTGCGGCACGAATGGGCAGGCTCGTCCGGGTAAGCACCACGACCTCACAGAAGATCAGCATAAAGTGGAAGTATGACAAATACTTTCGTGTTTCGTCTAGTGAGTGAGGTAGGCGGAGCCCAATTTTCAAAAGGTTGTCAACGCATCTGTAACCCTCGGGTGTAGCAGATGTCCATGGGCGGCGGTATTCACTTAACATCAAGTGAAACTCAACTTTCACATAAAAAAGAAAAAAAATGTTTTGATGAAGACGTTGCAAAGGGAGTTGTCTGTTACCACTGCTCATGAACATTCGCTACATCACATATTTCCAGTGATGCTTCTTTTGTATTGAAGATATTAGAATTCGCATTAAGATTTTACTACAACTTCATACATACAAAACACGAAAAGACTTTTCCCCAACCTAACAATATATAAATAGCGATTGGCAAGATTTCAACTTTTAGTCAGCTATACTGGTTAGCAGACGCATTTCGTGGTCATCAAAATGAAATCGATTACAGTCAATAATCCCGATAATTTCGTTATTATTTATTGACCTCCAAATGATTGCAAATGGAACTCGAATATTTGATCTGATTACCTTTGAACCATTAATTCTTTCTTTGTATTTCGGATCTCGCTTGCGTAAATGATTATTTTGTGGAAGATGTGGCTATATTACTTACCAAAACGTTTCATGTCACGTTTGGGACGAACAAAGCTCCGTAAATTATAGATATCATTATCTATTACTGTCTAACCTGTAGCTGCAGGCTACACGTTATTATTATACTGTATTGTTTGGTTCCAAAATTATATCGTTACATTATATTCGTACCGTGCGTAGAATAACGTTCTGCGGTCACATAGAACGAATTTGATCTTATATTCGGAAAGTCTTAATTATTGTCTACGCTTTCAGATGACATTATTTTTTTTTTCGTCTGACTTATATATATTGAGATTCAGAATAGAACAACTTTCTATCTGATTTGTGCTCCGCGGTACAAGGACATATTTACGTTTAGTCACTGTTTTTTTGTACCGACTAGACTAAGCTTACTAATGTAATAGACGAGTGTAAAATACTCTATTCGAGTTAATTGATAATTATTGCACAGTCACCCACTTTTTATGGTTTTTTCGTTGAAAACAGTGCTACTGCGTTTGTACCATACATATTTTCTTAGTTTTTAGTAGAACAACGTTATAAATGAACGCGTGACCTATTATTTTTTGGAATGTTCCGTTGAACAACGTTATATAAACGTGTGTATGTGAACTTGTGACCCAATGGATTTTGCCATTTTCCGTAGTAAAACGTCACATGAAACCTCTTATCTCCTAAATTTATGTAATTATTAATTAAAAAATATACTGTTTGTTAATACACTTAATTATATCACAAACCTCAAAAATTCTAATATCAACTGCTATGTATAAGATAACTAAAACCAAAATAAAAAAAAATAATAATTTGAATCGGCCGTCCTGAAAAATTACAATTTTTCAGATGTCACGTTGTTCTACGCAGGGTGCGATTATGTACACGGAGGCGTGAGATTAGTTGTCCATTTTTGTCCGGGTGTTCGCTATTAATTCAATATAAGGCGAGCAACTTGAGTTTAAATCCCGGTGCCGGCACCAATGAAATTGTCGATTTTAAATTCTGATTTATCACGTGTCCAGCGGTGCAGGAGAACATTATCAGGAAACCTGCTTATTATCCAAGTAATAATAAGAAAAAATTTCGAAGATATGTAAAGACTGCCAATCCGCAGTTGGGCCGCGTGGTGGGTGTAAACACGATATATGATAAACGCGTATAAAGATAGTATAGTCAAATAAAACGTAAACAACATAGACATTTAAAAAATAATAAGACTGAAATCCTGCCGAATTTGGTACCTTCCAATTATTTAAATACAGCATAATAATTTAATGAAAGTTATCGCAGTACGTATCACGCAAACGCGGTGTACACGCTAACCTACTAACGTGTTTTTATAGGAAACCCAACACGCAGTTGTAAAAACGTAGTTTGATATATTCAAGATTTATACCATAGCGTGTCGTTCGGTGCGGTACAATAAGATATAGAGTAGTTGTATGCAGGAAATTCAATTTAAAATTAATCCGGTCTAGTTTGGGTAAACATACGATTTGCCTTGTTCAAGTCCAATCTGATTTTGAGCTACTTATTGTTCGTAAAACCAAATCTAATAAAATCTATTGTCAAATGTGCAAAAGGTTTCAATAACGGTCCGTTGTACATTCGTGGCTTCAGCACTTATGTTCAAACCATCGTTACTGATAATATTGATACATCTTTCTTATTGTATGCCAGTGTTTTAAGCTAGGTTAAATCCAATCATAGAGCATCTGAAGCTGCTTGATCGCTCCAGTACTGTTAAAGCATATGTGACTATACTATGATCCTGTTCTAAAACAGCTAAATCCACTCAGGTGTGGCGAAGGTCCATAGACAGCAACGATCACTTACTAAGAGATGATTAATCTGTTTAGCACCATCTGCATTAAAGTCTTCTTCTTATTTCTCCTGTTCTTATCCAACCCCACCTAGATGCTGTCGGCACAGCATGTGAACAATGTTGTCAATAACTAGGTAATTTCTTCCGGTCGCCTGGCGTCAAACCTCTTGGGAATCCGGAACAATCATCTGTAGGTCACACAAATGTTTCTCCCGAGTGAATCGAACCCACGACTCCGGTGCCGGAGATAATAGGACAGTAAATGCGCCACCGAGCCACCAGCGCGCCAGAATTGAGGCACTCAAATTACGCCGATTGGTGCAAATAGATAGGAATTATATAGGCGGATATCGCTTTCCGTATCATGCGATTTATATCATCTGTCACATTCACTCATATATAATATGTCATATAATGTAGTGCGGAACAAGTTTTAAACGCAGCGCAGTATGAACATGCGTCATCTTTATTAAAACATCGTCACTACATAATATAACACAAAGCCGTCCCGCTGTCTGTCTGGCCCTAGGTATGCTTAGGTCTTTAAAACTACGCAACGGATCTTGATGCGGTTTTTTTACTAGATAGAGTGGTTCACGAGGAAGGTTTATATGTGTAACACATTGCACCTGTGTGAAGCCGGTGCGGGTCGCTAGTTGTTTATAAGTGTACGCCGATGTATGGTAAAATAAGTGGCCTGTTCACCTTTAAGTTGGTGAAGAAGTGGTGCGTCCTGTGTACCACTGACAGCGGCGTGTGGTGGTGGGCGGAGCGGGCGCGGGGCGGCGGGGCGGCGGCTGCTGGCGACGAGCACGAGAGCTCCGAAGCCGACTTTGATAGTCGGCCGCTGAGCGCCTCCGACCGCTCTGAGGAGAAATAATAAAATTAGCACAGATAATAAATGTCTCACTCCATGGAGGGGAGAAATGGGAGAAGTAGCATAGAGCAATGAACTGTCCAACTCCATGTAGAGGAGAAATAGGAGAATTAGCACAGAGCAATGAACTGTCCTACTCCATAGGGCCACGCAACAGTGTTCGTTGTTGCACGAATGTGCAGCTCCGCCCGGGTTAGGTTAGGTTAGGTTAGGCTAGAAGACCGGTGTGAAATAGAAGTGTTACACTTCTTCGTTTCGTCTGGTGAGTGAGGTAGCCGAGGTCCACTTCATTAAAAGGTGACAACGCATCTCCAACGCTACGGGAATTGCAAATGCCCATGGGCGACGGTTATCACTCAACATCAGGTTAACCGCCAGCCGTTTGCCACTTTGTAACATAAAAAAATGTAGGGGAGAAATAGGAGAATTACAACAGAGTAATGAACAGTTTCAACTCAATGTTTGGCATTCCTTATGACATTTGACAATTCCTTATGACAAGTATTGTTGTAGATACTCTTCTTTTTAAACGATGTTTTTAAACAAATACATTAAATCGTATTAAACGTATATAACACACAAGAGCGGTGATAGCTCATTATCCGGGAGCTCGCTTTTAGTTTAATATACCCGAGTAACCTGAGTTCAATTCTTTTTTTAGTGCTTACGTAGCACACAGCGGTGTAGTAAAACGGCGTGAGGAAAACTGCACATTATAGAAATGACAATAAAAATATTTCGAAGATATATGCAGTCCGCCAGTCAGTGATGGGGTCACGTGGTGGATTACTAGGGTGGTTCACGTGGTGGGTACTGGGGAGGCTTTTTCCCAGCAGTGGAACATGTATAAGCTGGCACTTTACTTATCTTTTTTTATTCTAATCATTACATTGTTTCGTCCATTCTGTGAACTTCTTTTTTTTTTTTCATTTTAAAAACATTGCCCTTAGTTTAGGATAACAATACCCTGTGTACATAAATTGCACGTGGACATACACCCAGATGCGAAACAACAATCCGTGGGTCACACAAATTGTTGTCCCGTGTGGGAATCGAACCCACGACCCCTGACGCCAAAGCCAATACCTTGGCAACTGCGCCACGGAGTCAGCAATCTATCTTCGAACAGTCGAACTGAGTAGACATTCAGCATTGTTTCTTCTCAGTCCGTGGGTCGTCTGCCTGTGGACTTTCAACGAAGCTGCCAAAACCGCCGTGCTTATAGCAAATTTCGTTATCAGATAAAAAAGATCCTTGCAAAAGAATTTTAAATAATTTTGATAACCGCTTGTATAAGTAACTCGTCGACCTCTATGTAATATAATACGTTTACATTGCCTTAGAGATTTATTAGAACGCTATTAAAAGTAAATATTATTATTATAATAAGACAATGCGAGAAAATTAGAAGTCTTTATTTTTAATCTGTCTTTTTATTTGTCATCCATTTATTAAATCAAAAAACTAAAAATACCTATTCGTTGCGTTAATAGAATCCGTATATAAAGCGTAAAAGATCCGAATTCAAATTAAAATCAGACGGAACAAATAAACCTCCGTGACATAGGCATATAAATTTTCAGAATTCTCCTGAAACGTGTTTAGGAAAAAGGATTTCTGTATTATCATTACCCATAGTTTATAGCATTCCTGCTTTTAAGTATAATACTGAGTGAGAAAAGTAGGATACATTATTTTAACTTATGACATTTGACGTTAGAGTCGTTTCACCTTGTCATTCCATCGCCAGACGTTGTAGGGTCGCTGTTGTCTTAAAGACATTACTCTCCTGACGTATTTCAAACATTATTTACTGTCAGAAATACAAAGTTGTGTCATTATTATTAACACTATCAAACTTCTTACGTGTTTAATTCGTTACGACGTGACGAGGAGTTTTATTTGGTTTTCTTTTTTTATTTTAGATAAACGTTCATGCACTTTGAATCGCACCGCGAACTCTTGCACCGCGTTGCACCCTATTGGTGTGTCACATGATTATAGTTTAAGTAAGGAATGATTTTTTCATAAAGGAACTGAACTGTGTTGCAAGTCAAAAATTTGTCGCGAAATAAAAGCATATAGCCTGAGACAATGTTACACTCAATGAAGGCCTATGTCACTGATTGACTGACGAAACGCAAAATTATAACACTTCAAATTTTCCCCAGCGTTCTGTGAGGTGGTGGTACTTCCCCGGACGGCCCTGTCCATTCGTGCAACAGCGAAGACTGTTGCGGGCCGTACCACACCTAAACGTACACTGTTGTTTGCGATAAGCGCGACAACTCTTTAAAGACCAACCTTTTATTGGCCAATTCTTTTTTAATATTCTCTGTTTTTTTTTTTAATGTTTGTTACCTCAGAACTTTTGACTGAGCAAAGCGATTTTGATGATTCTTTATTCGAAAGCCGGTGCTTCCCATGTGGTCCCTAGGGAACTTTTGAAAATCGGTTATAAAATAAATACATAGCGAAATATTTGAAGTAGATTTTGTTTTTCGTTGGTAAAAAAATGTTTATTCGTATAATTTTTCTGTCCCTGGAGGTTCCAAAAATATGGAATGGAAAATCTATACAAATAACCTTATAAATAACGTATGCTGTCGAATAAAAATCTTTTAATTCCTGTATACCCATAACTAATGTAACGGTTTGTATTCGACAATTATAGGTGGCAGCAATTCTGCCAATCGCAGGAACAATTTCTATAACATGTTTAATAGGAAATTCACACACATTGATATTGCGGCAACTGTGAAACCAATTTCCCTCTAGTTTAAAGAAACTAATATAAAGTAAATAATACTCTGAATATGCGCATAAAGATTTTAATGAATGTATGTATTTAAAAAAATTGTAGATTTATGATAGGATAGGAACAAAGCCATCTTTCATAATTATAGCATGTATTCCGCCGGGGACATCTTATCTTCGGTGGTATTTTAAATAAATATATAATAAATAAAACAACAGGAATTAGCAAGCAGAATTTTTAAATTAGTTACGGAAGAAAATGATAATAAAGTCCAGTATTTTTCAAGTTTCAGATGTGTATAAATTGTTACATTTTTCCTTAGCGGCGCATGCATCGATATCGTCATACATATGTTTATATAAAAATGATATTTAACATTGACAAAGAAACGAAAGTAAAGTAAAGTAAAGAAGAAATTATTTCAAACAAAAAAGCGAGTGAAAAAAATATTCCAGTTCACAAGTTGCGACAAAATGTGAATTGGAATAATAAAAGCTGGAGGAGGCTTATCAGATTAAACACCGAGTCTGATTGTTGAATTATCTGGTAATGGCCGCCGGATTATATCATAGGTAAATAAAAACAACAGGAAATCATCTAAATGAAAACAACATGTTATTTACTTACTTTTGAACATCACAAGCCATAAAGTAATAGTATAGATAGCGCTAATTTGAATAGCTAACTTCGAAAATGTTTTTCCCTTTTTTTTCGTTTATGTTGGAACTTTGAAATAAAGTGTATAAAAATGCCCTTCTGTAAAATATCAAGATAATCGTCGGCTAGTTTTCGAGCGTTGTGTACACACTCTTGAGCAAGAGCCGAGTAATCCTTACATGTTATAAGCGAAAGGGAATTGGACATTTTATATATTGAGACACTAAAGAACATAATAATTTAACATAAATGCAAAATGGAAGTTTGTTATAAAAAGTAAATAAGTGCGAACAAAAAGAGTTTTCAAAATCTATCTAATTATATATAATTCTTCTGTACGTGTGTATGTCACTATGTGTATGTCACGGCTGGACCGATTTTAATGAAATTTTTTGTGTGTCTTCAAGTCGATTCGAGAATGGTTTAGATTAACAATTCGGGACACTACAACATTTTTTTTAAATTTATAAGTTGTTTGATTTACGTCGTGTGCGCAGGACTACGTTTGCCCGGCCAGCTAGTATAATAGGCACATTATGTATACCGTAAGTGGTTATTCAAAAAACGGAATACCTATTTTAGGAACTGTCTGTATATCTTTGTTTACAACATGCTGAATAGAATTGTGTTATAAACATTGACAGCGACTAGTTTTAGCAATTTAAATATGTTCTTTTGAATTTGCTATAATTTAAATTAAGAAAACTACTAGTACTTATTTCAATTAGGGAATTTAACACCACTTACTTCTAGAAATTTAAATTGTTTATAGTGCTAGTCTTTGCACTTAAGATTGAACATTAAAATATGTATTCTAAAAAGCAATGGCGGCATCTCTCGTTCGAATTATCGTTGTAAAACGATATTCGAAATTGTTTGTATGCTGGAAAGGATATAACAATGGATGCGCCAAGCATTGCTTCAAATGCTAAGAAACAATGTAGAGAAAGACGTTACGATCTTCGTCGGTGTGGCAATCAGCCGTTTAGCTCAGTGGCTAGAGCGTCAGTTCGCGAATGCCGAGGACGTGGGTTCGATTCCCACAGCGGCGACATTCTTTTCGTACTTTTTCTACATATTTGAATAAAAAAATTCTAGTTATTATTTGTAAGGTAACATTTTTGTTAGAAGCTAGGTTGAAGTTAAACGAATGCGAAATAAAATAAAAAATAAAACTGTGAATCTCCATATCTATGCTATGTAAATGGACAGTTGTTTAAGATCACCACTTTTAATGGTTCTGGTTTAAAAACCACCACGTTTTGTCATAGTATATTTAATTTAATACACTTAACTATTAAATTAAATGAAGTCACATATATGACAGCAGTGTGAAGATTTTTTGGATGCCAGCCAAGTTCGCTGACAAAATTACAGTTTCTAACTCACTTTGTTTCAACACCGCCGAACATTCTAGCTTCAGACTTAATGAAGTGTTTAGATCAGTGATTCCCAAAGTGGTCTATATCGACCCCTAGGGGTCTATGACAACCTGCAAGGGGTCTACGTCAGCGAAAAAAAATTTGGGGGGTCCATGAAATGAAAATGGGGGTCCACGATAGTGGATCTCAACACATACACTGATAGTACCTATTTACTTACTTCATACTATCTTATAATATCAAAACATATACATTATTTATAAAAGTACCTATGAAGTAAAAAAATATTATATATGTTTATAAAATTGTGTGAGTATACATTTTGAACTTGTAAAAACCTGAGAGTCGCAGTCTCAGAGCTTCGCTACCTTGCACTGACTTGTTCAATTCGTCACTCTATAAATACGAATGTGGGACAAATACGTTTATTCGTTTCCTGAATCTTGAAAAGGAAAGTGTTAAGAAAATATTTTAAAAAATATAAACAGATAGTATATGACACAAATTATAGTGAGTCAGTGTTATTTTGTTTGAGAGTGCTGGAGAAAAGTAAGTACATTATTTTTTATTAAATTTTAGTTTTGTGCTCGTAGTTAGCAAAGATAGATAAATTACGATAGATAAATTACAGTGCAATCTCCGTAATTCGAGCTAATTGTTGCAAGAAGATGTTCGAATTATGGAATGTTTTCGGAAATATCAAAAAATATTTTTAATATACAGCTGCTGGATTTTCTGTCTTATTTAAATAATTTAATTTTGCCCACAGATGACTGATGCTATGTCCGAATTTAAAAAGAAATGTAGACAGTAGAGTAGAAATGTAGATTATTTGAAATTTGTTTTACACAAACCTGCATCTGATATCATTAAAAGAATTCCCTTAAGCAACAATACTATTGAAATACGTATTGATGAAATGAGTTCTGTTATTGAAAGCTACTTATGTAATTATTTGCAAACGACCCATTTCTCTATACAACTGGACGAGTCAACTTTACCTGATAATGCAGCATTATTATTGGCATATGTTCGTTTTATTATGAATCAAGAAATCTACGAAGAACTGCTCTTCGCAAGAACTTTGATAACCGACACTAAAGGTGATTCAATATTTCATGTTTTAAAGGATTACTTCATTGAAAAAACAATTCCTTTATCAAATATAATATCAGTAGCTACAGATGGAGCACCTGCCATGGTTGGACATTATCGTGGATTTATAAGCTATTTAAAACAAAATTTGTCAGGGGTGTTAGCAATACATTGCGTCATCCATCGATAACATTTAGTTGCTAAAAATTTGAGTATTAGATTGCATGCATCACTTCATTTAGTCATTGATGCAGTAAACCG